GGACCATTTTCTACTTTATCCAGAGTTGCATTCTCTTCATTTGTTGCTGACAATTGTGGGAGACGATTTTCTGGAGGTTGTGATTGTTCTACTGACTCTTGACGCTGTGAATTGTCTGGTAATGGTACAAATACATCAGATAAAGATGAGAGCGCAATATCGTCTCCTGATGATATTTGCGGTGGATTTGATTAACGGTTTCTAATTGAGTGGCTATGATTGTCTGCTAAGTAGCAGGCGAACGAATTCTTCTAGCTAATGAAGTACTGGATGAGTAATATCTATGATGGTTGATAGGAGTAGATGCTTGGATTGTTAACTGTTGTCGAACTCTTCTAAACTAAACAGAAAACGAAATAATAAAGCTACACGTTTGACTTATTTCATCCTTTCTCTGAACTGAAGTTCGACATACAAATGGATGGTTTAGAGTGAAGTTATGGATTTTAGAGGAGGTTGGAATCGTTTTTAGCTTCTCAAAAAAATTAAACTGGCTTTTATGAGAAGAGTAGGATGTAACCTAAAAAAATCGAAATGAAGAATAAAACATTCACATTTTCATGGTTAGAAAACGTTTGTACTCTTTGAAAATATTCTTTTAAGTGATCATAACATTTTCCTCGCCAGACGCTCTACATTTTCTTATGCAAAATCCTTCCGTGGATTCACCTCTTTGTACCTGCAAATTAACTTGCTTTGCTGATTGTTCCTGTTGATATTGTGCAACTAATCGCTTGATCGCTTCTTCAACCTGATGTTTGACATTTTCTGAAATGGACGAATCGTAATGAGGTTCTGAGGCATCATAATTCAAATAATCTTCTGTATCAATCGGTTGTTGTATGTGAGCCTGCTGATCATACACCCGTATTCGTCCGATGCTAAAGAAACAGAAAGGAGGAACTCATGTGAGTATCCGACTGAAAGATACTGACATTCTTTCGGCTGATGTTAGTATGCCATTCACGTGTTTGACAGCTGCTGAATGAGTGACTGATTGATAATATTTCGTTATTTCACCATAATCACCAGCGACTAATTCCTTGGCTATATCTTTTGAACTAATGGTACCACGTTCATATAAGCCTAGAATTATTTCTGCTTCGAGTGACGACTTTTTTAAACAGGCACGTTTTGTTGTTGGATTACTCTGAGATGTCATGTTTATTATATATCTGAAAAGAAAATCGCCGTTTATACTCTATTATAGATTTGAAAACACAGCTAAAGCAAAATGACACATCCCATTCAAATCAAAATCAAATCAGATCAAATTTATTTCATGTCCTGGATGTTAAATTGACAGTGGTACTGACAAAAAGTTAAGTGAGAAACTAAAACTAGGTCAGCACCATGAACTTCATAGACCTGATGTTCTAAAACCCGCTCTCGAAATCTTGAGTCATTTATCAGGCACATTGGGTACATTGACAGAGTTATTAGAAGAAATCGAATTCGATCAACATGAACAATTCATGTCATTGTTTATTCAACTCCAACATCTTTTGATTATCATTCCGTACTTATCAAACTTAACGATTTATCAAATCACCATGCCGTTAGACAATTATGAGCAACGTACTTTAACAGATCTTTATACCGAACTTGGGCCTACTCCACGCAGAGTCTGTCACCTAACT